TCTTGATTCTGAGCTAACAAACGATATCATAGCCAAATCTACAATCTCTATATCTGGATTCTGTCTCGGATTGTTGTGTCGCTGTAGCATGCTTAATGCTACTCTGCATCCTGTTGGTACTAATATTGTGTACTACTCATCATTATCGGTAAATAAAAGAAATTGTATTTTGCTAGATATTTGTCAATTGAAATTCTATAGAAAATTTGTCAAAATTTAGACCGTTGGACCGTTATACATTGCTTCGAGATTTATAAACGAGGGAAAGAAAAAATAAAACACCACGTGCACGAGTGAGGGGCAGGGCTGCAAATACAATAGCACGATGCTCTTGTGGTAGGCTAAAGCCTAGCTCAATAATTTCACCTTGACTCCTTTAAATATGAGTGTAATCTAATTCGTATTTCCAACCGTAATACCAGATATCTTGATCCTCCTCCAACTATTAAAACCGATGCAATTTGACTCCCAGGGCAGTACAGAGAGCAGTATTTGCTGACATGGTATCCACGTATTATCCTAGTCATCAAAGAAAAACTTAAAATAAAGCGGGACTCACCTGTTATGCTCCCTTTTCTTTCCCTTTCCTTTCCTTGTCTACCCCACACACTATCTCCCCAATGTTTTCTCCACCATGAGCGGGCGGGCGACGACAGGGGGATGGAACATTGAGGAGTGCACAACGGTGGCAAGGGAGTTGGACGGTGGCTGCAACCTGATGTGATCGCAGGCCTTCCGCATCAAGCGGTGCCTCGACGAGGCTTGGATCAGCCACCCTGAGCACCTCCTCATTCACGGCACAATTTTGGTGGCGGAGACGGAACAACATGGTGGAAGGCATCGGCCATCAGGGAAGATGGGGAGCGCGCTCCACGCCACCGCTCCTCATCCCCGCTCAGCATCGTCGGTGGAAAGCGTAGGCAGAGACTGATCCACACCGCTACTACTCGTCTTCTCTCGTCTTTGCTGCTCCACGCCGCCGTCCTCGTCCCTGCTCCGTGTCGCCGTCCTCATCCCCACTCCGCGCTGCTGCTCCTTGGCGCCGGTGGAGACCACTCCACGCAGTCGCTCCTCGTCCCCGCTCCGTGCCGCCATCCTCACTCTACGCTACCGCTCCTTATTGTTGGTGGAAGGTGTCGGCGAAGAGCCGGAGACCGCTCCACGCCGCCGCTCCTCGTGGGGGCACCACACATCGGGTTGTCGCCGCCGCCCAGCTCCCTTGACATGGGGAGAAAACATCGTTAAGAGAGTATGTGGGATAGAGAAGGAAGGAAAGGGAGAGAGATGGGAATATAACAGGTGGGTCTTACTTTATTTTTAATTTTCTTTGATGACTGGGATGACATGTGAACGCCACATTAGCGAATACCACTCTCAATACTATTTTAGAAGTTAATAGTTGCACCAGTTTTTATAGTTGGGGAGTCTAGATATCTAGTATTATAGTTGAGGGATACAAATCAGATTACACTCATATTCGAGGGAGTCAACCGGACTAATCCCAAGCCTAGCTGAGAGTAGACAAAATGTGGCCCAACATCATTAGTTTTTCCCCTGCCGAGCCTACCTGTGAACCAATTTTTGCTTTGAAAAGGTCATACCTTTTATCTGTGCTGTGCAACTGATGCGGACGGTCCTGAAATAGTACAACGTAGGCATAATGTCTTCCACAATCATGCTGTTACGATCTGATCCGTTTATGAATACTGAATGATGAATCATCAATGTACTAATGTTCCACAGTCATGCTGTTTAGGTTCTTTTGGCGCCGCTCTGAATTCAGAGGTTACCACTACATCCAGTACTAATAATGTACTGGTGGATGTCTGCCGCATGGTAAGTGCAAGCGAAGAAGATCTTTTCTTTTATGTAGCGGGGTTATATGTCCGTATCTTTTAAGTTAGAGGATATGTTTCCTTATGCAAGAAATATAAAACTGCTTAACTTGTAATCCTATATATCTATAAAGTTTATCTCCATTAAATATAGGTAATGTTAACTCTCTCTTCTTTTATAAAGTCACATCATCTTAATTGTTTTTAGCCTTTGGATGATTTCACCAAGAATGCAAATTGCCTCTCTTCTCTCATAAACCACAACATACAACCTAATCATTTATAATCTTTGAATAATTGATTAATATACAAAATATATAAAGCATATGAAAGAAAATCGTACAATATATATATATATATATATGTAAACTTAATCTCCACTAAGTATAATTAATGTTAATTCTCTCTTCTATTATGGAACCATATTATCTCAATTGTTTCTAGCCTCACATAATTATCCCGCAGTAACCCGCGGGTACTCATCTAGTAAGATCATACAAAGTGTTTCTGGCTGTTGACGTAAAACACAATGTCTGGGAGATCTGCTTAACTCCAGTGCATGTCCAAAACTCGTCTTCGGGTGTGTTAGCGTGCCAGTTGATTTGATCCTGCAATCAACAAGAAATATAGACAAAGAAACCGCAGTTAAATCTATAAATGATAGCCGATCGGCTAAGTGCCGATGACATATCATTTATCTCTGAGCCGATGTCATATGTAGATCGATCGGCAGTTGGAAATAGATAATAAAGAACTAAATCTACTCGATCGGCTAAAGATATTAACAATATATAATTCTTATATCGATATATATTTAAATCAAGTGATTGGGATAGATCGGTCGCCATGCCGAGACAGTATAAATCACTTAGATCGAAATATATATTAATAATGGGACTATATATGTTCATAACATAGCTGATCAGATAGATCTAGCATGTATCGGCTAATACTCCGATACAACTCTGTGTCAAGATTTTAAAACAAGCAGAATATACCAAACAGAAGCTTAATATACTTAGATGCAATAATATCTTGACATAAAGGACATATTTAACGTATCAATGAAGCATATAGAGCAAATATAGTTAAATCAGATAAGATCGGCTGAAACTCCGATGCTACTCTAATCGGCAACCAGAAGGCAGGCTAGAGATTGATATTCTAAGCACGACTTAATAGATCAAACTCAACTGATGCAGCATTAAGTATGAAAAGAAGAACAATATCTATACAATCAAGCCGCTGGAGGTTTCATAGGGTGGTGGATATCTTATATAAACTAAACCAACGTCAAAATCTAACCTAGCCGGCTGCCCTCTGCTAACAGATGTTAGCCGATTATAGGTTAGATAACGATATTGCTAGAGATTATGTAAGATATATGATAACTCGATGAATTACATAAACAAGATTAGAGTATCATGAAGATGGAAGCACTAATCCCGAGAACGCAAACCATCATAACAAGTTTTACCTCTTGTTGAAGATCGAAACCAATGCAGCTCAACCCGAAAGCAAGAACTCGTCGAAATAAAACAAAAGCAAAAGGTGGCGATGCGCCGAAATTGTATTGAACATGTGTGTTCCCTGATTAAATGGGGTTCGGGGTCTATTTATACCCGAAAATTACAAACTATGTCCATACCGGATACGACTCTTATCTCTAACAAACTCTAAGATACTATAAGTCTTTGCGGCAGACTTTTGCCCAAACATATCTCTAAGGAAATTACATAAAATATCCTAATTAATAGATACAATTGTTTTCTCAGGACTCTATCCATGTGCGGCAATCATCTAGAAGTACCTCGATTTAACCCGATGTCATACATCAAGTCGTATTGTCGGAATCGGCTGCATCAGCTTACCTAATACGACTCAGACCCAGCCGATCCTAATCGTAGCCGATCTGGACTCCAGCCGATTCTTGCTTTGTTCTCGAACCGATCTCCGCCTTCAACTCCACTTCGATCTAATCTTCTTTTCCGATACCGATATTACCAAATTTGGTTGTTAACACTGGCAACACAGAGCTGAACTACACAACGATCAGAGAAGCAACAGTGCCAGATTTGCTGACTGACACAACGGAAGAAGAACAAGCTCTGAAATAGAAAACATAACTCGGCAACTGAAACTGAATTCAGTATGTTCATGTAATCTTTGGTTTCGTATATTCACCTATGAACATAAAGGCTGTATTTCTACCCATTATCTTTTTATTTATAAAAAAAAGATTGGTGACTAAGAAACCTTCACCAATGCAGTACCCTACTATCAATCCTCGTAGCAGAACACAGAAGACTTCTGAAAGAATAAATCATTGCTTATCCGTCTTTCCTCCTTACAATCTTCGCTTAAGACCCCCATCAATATCAACTTAGGTAACCCAACTCGAACAACCAAGTGACCAACAACAACACATTGACAATAAACAAGTTCAGCATTTGATCAACGTAACACCTTATGTTTGAGTCAATCTCAATGCCATACACTCGCATGCGAATTCCGCAATCAACTTGAGTTTTTATACTTCTGTCCGGTGTCCAGGAGTTCTGCACGAACTTGGAAGAAAACGACATGCATGATTCCTCTAAATTCCAAACAAAGAACACCGTTCCATGTAGTTGTAAGCAAGAAACTAATCACTCATGGGTTGACATTTTTCTATTAGCTGTTCATTTCTTCCAAAGTAGTAATATATCATGGACCATTAGCAGAGACGTGAATTCTTCTGCTACTCTTCTGAATTTGCCTCTAAATCTCTGACGTTGGTAGTATATTCAGTAGTTTTAATACCCCTGAGTAGGAGTATGTTGAATCGTAATAATAACCTAATTGACGGAATCATTTTTTCGCTTTAGTTTCCTAACATGCCAAGCATCCGAGGCTTCCATTTTTCCAGTGTGGTTTCAGTTGCCCAATTATTTTTTTAAAGCAGGATTTAAAAAAAGCAGTAACATGACCATGTGGGAAGATCTCAGGATGAAGTTATTTAAAATACAAACTGGATCTGTGAATCTGTCATTGCTTACGTCAATCTGTCTACTTCAGTTAAGCAAGTCAAAGTTGCTGACAAAATATAGTTTGTTTCAAGATTGGACAAGGCCAGACCCAGATCCAAAATTTCAACACGGTTTGGCAATCATGAGAATTGAGAAGAGAAGAAACTTACAAAAATCAAAATAAATATCAATCAATACAATATATAAACTTAAAATTTCAAACAATTCGGACCAGGCAATCTGCTTTCGAGGGCTCATAATATAGACATAGCCCAGACAGAAACATGCATGAGAAGCATTTCACTTCCCATTGTACAGCAGTAGCTACAATTTCAATACTTACAACACCCATCTGTGTAATTGAATATCTTTGCTAAGGAAAGGAAAAATAGAAGGAAAAGCTGAAACAACAAATCATGCACAATACGCCTTCTGTCTTTTCTGCATTTTACCTCCATCTTGCCCCCCCCCCCCCCCCCCTCTTTTGAACTCCTCCAAATCCATACATTTTGTCTGTAAATAACTTACGTCCCCGTCGTTATGTTCATCCAGGTTTTGCCTTTCCATAGAGAACACAAGTTGTTGTCCACTTGTCCTTGGTTTAACCAAGTTGTTGCTACCAAAATCAACACATGAAAGATTTTACGCGCTTCACGACGAAGACGGAATGATACTCTCTTGGGGCCTGGTTCCTTTTGGCCTCCACATGGTCCTGGCCTTGACGATGGTAGGTCCTGATTCCAGGCTCAGCAAATGCTCACAGTGCAAAGTGGTTTGTCCAGAGTGCTTGTTGCAGTCAGTGTACACGGTAGTGTGTGATTGCAGCACGCTGTCTCGGCCACACTCCCTCTTGTAATCCAGGACAATACTTGCCAGCTCATGTTTCTCCAGAATGGAGATTGGTGCGCTCTGAGGGGAAAAAAGGACAAAAAGGTAGGGTTAAGCAACATGTGCGCATGTTGGTAATAAATATTTCTGTATGTTAGGAAATGCCTGAAGTGTTAATTTCCCTAATATTTTGGGTTGTTTTGGGCCCATCTAGGTTGCAGGTCACCTGAACAATTTCTTTTTCCTCATTATGTGGTCCACTGGATAAATACATACATGACTACCCCTCCCCTTCTTCCAAAACACACATACACACGGCAGATTGTCAACCAGGCAAATATGCATTATATGCAGGTGTTGATCACTCTAAAAAAAATTGAATTAAGTGAATGACTTGTGATCAAATTGCATATAAGTATTCCAGCCAAGCTCTTTATCGGAAGCAACAAGCGTACAGGGTTAGGTACGTAGGTGACCAACCTAATGTAGTAAAATCTGCTAGGATACATTACTTCTCCAACTAGTGCAACAGATATTTTTCGTATAGCTTGAAAGAGTACAAAGCTGCCAGATAAGTGGTTGCGTGCTTGAGGATAAAGTTAGGTGGACACTTGTAGAACCATAGGCACACCCTTTTGGGACCTTGACCAAGTTTATCTAAACTCCTACAGTAATGCCTAATCATAGGCATGATCTGAGCCCCCCCCCCCCCCCACACACACACACAAAAAATAAAGTACCTACAAATCCAGTACTCTTCTGATTACTGTTTATTCCCAAATTCTTGGAACATAACATATGGGAAATATAGCGAGATAAATGAATCTCTTTGAATTATGTAGCACCATCAATAGTACTAAATGTATGCCCAAAGAGAAAAAGGCAAGTAAAGCAACACAAAGTTATGCTCCACCATGTGACAACTTAATAATGAATACCGCGACAAAGATGCCTAACAGCAACTCCATGGAGTGTTTACAGTAAATAAAAACAAATGGATATTTTTTCTGAAAGTAACATACTGAACTTCAAGAAGCATTTTTTTCCCTCAAGAATCATCTAGGCAAGAGGTGTTAGCAAGGGCAATAAAGATGAACATAATAGGGGAACTTTTTTTACCTCTAGGATCCACCCTATGTATTTAACGTTATTAACATGCTGATTGATATCAAGGTCGGCCCATCGTGGCTGCATTATGAGACAGAAGAAGATGTAAAAAATGAAAGAAAAACATGCACATTTTGTATACTTGTAAACTGTAATCTTGTATAATTCCACAAAACTTACAGTCAGGCCTGTCCGGACATATTTGGCTACATTAGCACCTTCAATATCTGGCAGTTTTGGAAGTTTCTGGTTGTCTTCATCTACAATAGAAGCATGCTCAAAAAAGTATGGCTCTATTTCAGTACGTACTTCATCAGGAATTCTTGCTAGCCTCCTTGTAAGCTTGTGCATCATAACCCATTTACTGCACATTGAGCAAACAATTAGGACAAATAGGTAGCTTCATGTTGCTGTAAGGCAGCTTATAATATGTTCAGAAGAAACAGAACTTCTAGACTTCATATGCAAACAGTGGTAATAAGATGGGTAGGAAGTTGAATAGCAGATGCTAATACAGTTTTCATGATCATCAGTATTTATGAGAGTGACAATAATTCAAACCTTGTAGCCTTCAATATTGTATGGCCTGTTACAGAATCACGTATATGCCAGTCTCTGCGCATTCCATTTTTACCATGAGCACCAACCCATGTATCTACTTCGACAGTATCACCCCTGCACACAGATAAGAAGTTAATTATTGGCAACATGGCACTTTCAGGTAACAAACACGAACAATTATAACATCTCACAGAAAATATGATACATGATCAATAATATTAAGAGCACAGGAGGCTTCTGCATCATCATCGTTTACTGAAAGTCTACCAGTTGCACAAATATTTAATGCCGATAGCAAAAACAGTTAAGAGATGGGAGTTGCTCATCCATTTAAAATTGATACAAACACTTGGGAAAATCTTTTTCATATTCATTGCCAAACAACTTGAAAACTCCATTTACCTAAACCTGTTATTCCATGACTGCTGTGAAGCAAGATGATAGCTACTATAACTACAGTAACGTACTGTGACAGCCAACCATACATCTATGTGCCTCCTAATTGTCATGTAACACGAAAGCAGAAAAGCAACACCCTATTTGGAGCTCAAACTATGTAAGAAAACAAAACCAAGAACATGCTGATATGTGAAATTATAGTATTATACCAGCACGGATAACGCTCAACGATTGCCTGCATTTGGCTGACAACCCAGAACAAGTCTCGTTTACTCATCTCTGGCGTTGAGCCAAAACCATCTCCTAGCAGCCCAGCGCTCTTCACATGATTCAGTGCGGTTTCCTGCATCAAAACCAAAAACATTTCAATGTTCTGATGCCCAGCCCGAGCAATCCGACGCCTGAAAATTCACAATATTTCACCTGCAAATGGTTCATCAGCGTTTCTATAGACGCCGTCCTATCGGCCCCGATCTCATAGGACCTAATCGAGAAGTTCTGCCTGAACATGAGCCCCTCATGTATCATCCTGCCGAAACCGAACGTGTCGGTGAGCATGTCGGGCCGCTTCGGCTTCCAGTCCAGCAGCGTCCACTGCTTCTCCGCGGCCAAGAAGATGGTCGTGATGGCTGCGAGGAGCATGCTCCAGTCGGGGAGCTGGTTGTAGAACGTCCTCGGCGCCGCGGAGGAGGAGGAGGAGGACATCGTGTCGTGCTCCGGATCCGCCAGCGCCGAACTGCCGCCGTTCACCTTGGGGATGGCGGCGTGGGTGCGCGTCTTGCCGGCCCTCAGGGCGGCGGCCGACGACGAGGAGCCCGGCTTCGCGGCGATGCCGCGGACGTCCAGGCTGTCCGGGCGCTCGCCCAGGACGCTCTTGGGCGGCGCGGCCGCCGGCGACCCCGGCAAGAACGCCGAGGCGGCGATTGAGCCGGCCATCCGGAGTACGGATTACAACTTTACGCGCCAAATCAAAGACGCGCGCGAATAGGGAGGATCCCAACCTGAATCAACACGAGCACAACATTATCATCACCAGGAAATCACAAATTCCAGAAAATGGAAACAAACGAAGAGTGAGAAGCATCTTTTATCTAATCCAAGCACAAAAATCATTAGCTGCAAATCATAGCTTGCTCACGACTCACGAGGAAGAATAATCGAGGATAAACCGCTGGTCAAACGTCAAAGCAGGCGAAGCAAAGCAAGCCGCCTAAAATAAAGAAAAAAACGAGACCAAAAATCTAGAGAAACTTTTACCACGGCCGTAGCCCGTAGACCACCACTAGACCGTACAGACGAAGGAACGAGAGAGAAGATGCGGAGAGAAGAAAAAAAACACCCAAATCTCGCGGCAAATAACACGACGCAGATTACTCGAGATCCAACCCCGCCCGAAAGAAGAACTAACAAAACAAAGATCCTGAATTCCCCCGCGATTCCCCCAGCCGCGAAACCTAACCGAAATCCAGCAGCGAGTGCGTGAGAGAGCCCCTCCCCCTCCCCCTCCCCACAACAATTCATCCGGCCAGCCAAGAAACCGCCGACGAACACGGACAAAACTCCAACCGGAATGCGGCGGAGGCGGGGAGGCAAACCGACCTTAGGCAAAGCTTCTGCCGCTGTCTCCGCTGCTGCTGCTGCTGCTGCGCTTCACGACGCGGCCATTGGCGCCGGGAAGAGAGGTGGAGGCGGCTGCGGTGGCGGGACCGGATTACACTGCTTTCTCCGCTGTCAACACAGGCTCGCATCGCATCGCAGCCGCTGCTGGCCACGGCGACCTTAAAAACCGAGGCTTTTTCTTCTCTGCGTGGCGCCGGGGGGTGTGCAATGACCGTCCTGCCCCTGCCACCGCCTGGGGATCCGACGGCTGGGATGGACCGTGGAAAAGGACATCTTTGATGAGACATATAGAAAGAATAAACTATACTGTAGGTCTGTAGTGCGGGGCACGAGGAGAAACGTGGAAATAGGCCAGTTCTAAATAATATCCCCGTCTTAAAATGTATTTCTTTCGTCCCATGATATATAGTAGTTCTAATTTGAAATCAGAGTAATATTTTATAGTCCTAAATCTATATTATAGAACAGAGATAGTAACAATAAAAGATAAGAGATCACCTAAAACTATAGCCGTGTTTTGTTCCAAAGTTTTTCTTCAAACTTCCTACTTTTCCATCACATTAAAACTTTCTTACACACATAAACTTCCAACTTTTCCGTCACATCATTTCAATTTCAACCAAATTTTCAATTTTAGCGTGAACTAAATACAGCCTATGAACCTAAGGTCGAGTTTAGATTGTGTTTAGTGTCCAGATTCATAGTGTTAAGTGATATCTCAACTTTTACTAGTCAATTCATTTTAAGATATAGTAGATTTTATCTCGATTTTCGTGAGCATGTTTTTTAATTGTTAAGTAGTATATTTCGTAAGAAAATTTTCTATAAGTTGATTTAAAATATTAGATAAAACTATTTTTAAGTATAGAATAATTTACACCTAACTAATCATGATTTTTTTTAATTTTATACTTTTAGATATTTTTTAGTTTTATTAATATAACTTTCCGAAAAGTATTTCTAAATCTGAACCTTTTGGCCACGCCATCCGTCTGACCAATTCACTTTATCACGCCATGTGCAGCTGGCATATCAGTGTTGTCATGCCACACCAGTCTATTGTCACGTCATCATGGTTGGCGTGACAAAACAAAGCTGCTACACAAGTTACTCGGCTGGTGTGGCCAAAAGGTTCTATATTTTTTGAAAAGGCCTATTAAAAAATTAAAAAAGTCCAAAAAAAATAAAAAAAATCACTAATCACACGTTAATAGCTTTGTCGGTACTTAATCTTTTATCTTCAGCCAGTACTATAAAAAAAGTGACAGCTTGTTTAGTAAACCTCTATCACCTATGAATTTATTTTCCTCCTTTGAAAGTTGATGAAACACACTTTTTTTCATAAAACATCTGGAGGGTTGAACTGAGCCCGTAGCTTTTTTTTTTCAGTTGTTTGAATACCTGTGATGTTTTGATTTGGATATTCAGGTCTTATGTGAACTTTTTTAAAAAAAAGATCTCGCTATCTGCTCTTGGAGTATGAGATCTTCAGAAGCTAAGCGTGGTTGTAGGTTTCGATATGAATGGAAGGTGCAATTTACATAATAGACTCTTAGTAGCGGTTTTGACTTTTCTTAGAGAAACACAATATAGAAACGTAGATGCTTATAACACGTGCGTACTCACCAGTTGAGCTAATTCACTTCGTAATTCAAACTATATTTTAACACAAACAACCTAAACAGTTGAGCTAATTCACTTCGTAAAACTATATTTTAATTCCAAGAATCCATGAATCAAATTGTTTTTTCTTTCTTTTTTTTTCATCATCGTGAATTTTATGTGATAACGTAATTTAAATATGCAATAATTTCTATCAACTTCTCCAGCACTCTAAAGTACACTACTGTTCTTTTAAACCCGTCAAAGTCGAAAGAAAAGTCTACAAACCTTTCAAAATGAAAGAAAGTGCGATTCCAGGAAACGTTACCAAATTCAACCGCATTTAGTACTATTTTCTTTATTTTATATTATAAGGCTTTAATTTTTTGAGAGAAAATCTAAAGAATGACATTGACAAACGATCAAGTCCGAAAAATATCATCGACTAGCGTGAATCCCATTAAATACCATCGTACAAGCAATTTTGTCATAAAAATATCGTCGTTGTCAGAGTTCATCTATACCGTCACGTTAAATATACTATTCATCATGTAGCACTTAACGGAGGGTTGTTAACGAAATCCTATCAGGAATGGTCTTTTGGGACAAAGTCACATGTACAATGATATTTTATGAAACTCGCACTTATCGATAATATTTCTTGGAACTAGGCGCTTATCAATGATATTTTCTAGATCTTCTCTTCTAAAATTTTTTTTCTAAGTTTGATCAAATTTTAAATAATATAGCAATATTTTTAAGATAGAACAAACAGCGACCATAATGTATTTAATGTTAAATTTAATAAAACTAATTAATTTGATACGGCAGATATTATTATATTCTTTTATAAACTCAATTAAATTTAAAATAAATTTAATTTAATATAAGATACAAAGCGATTTATAAAATGGAAGGAACAGTTACAATCTAATCACAGTATTACAGAACCCAAGAGCCCAATTAAGCACCGCGCACCATCTCGATCGTTCTGTGCTATGATGTACCAAACGGCAAAACTTGAAGGCGTCGGCGATGACGTACACGTACTGCAAAGTAGGAAGTGGTTAACTGGTAAGTGGATGCCAAGTACCCATTTAAGTAGACGGCAAAGTTGTGAAGCAGAAGCCCGGAAAGCTCTTTGATTTTCGTTTCTCCGAAGACTTTGGTAAGCTCTGAGTCTCTGACGACGGTGATCTGGTTGGGGGAATTGAAGTGGTCTCGTTGGACATCCCTTTCGTCCCAGTTGCACTCTCACTCACTCTCCTGTTGCTGCGAGTGATACTACTACCCTGTTGACAGTTGCCCAAATGCAGTACTACTACTGTTCAGAATTATGCTATACTGTTAGGCCTTTCACAGAGCAGTGACATGGCGTGTGCATTCGAGGTGCCGCGTAAAAGATTTTGTCCACGTCGCACTCTGTCGTGTCTCTACATGGTTGCTCGGTGCTCAGTTTAGACCGACGTGGTTGACAGAACCTCACTGTCAGATAGTTGTCAAAAAAAAATCCATACCAGTCCTAGTAAGAAATCAAGTGTATCATGCACTGTGAAATATATGACTTTTTAATGATTTCTTCGACGTAGAGTCCTCTTTTTTTTCAAGAAAACTCAGATGGTGTAGCTTGCATTGGTCGTGCCCTTATGCAGCTGTGAGCCAGCCAGAAGGCACTCACTCGTTTCACATCGACTCAAAATTATGCTACCTAGTTAACTCTTTCACACGTTGCCTTTTTGTAGTTATGGTTTACAAAACAGATAGAAACCAGCTGGTTTTCGTGAACCAAGCTTGAAAACACAAACTCCTCGGTTCGCACGGTTTCTAATCAATTTTATTTAAAAAAAATCAAATTATTATATAAACTAGCATGGTGGTCATCGCATATTGTACGGCTAGCATCATTATATTTTCTCATATAATAGCATATATATTTTCTTAATTTATTATTAAAATATATTAAAATGACAACATAATTCTAAATTTTGTATTTACTTTAGCAAATACCAATGTGTAATATTCATACTGTATTGTATATACGTTATAGTTATTAATTATTTTTAATATTAAATTTTAGTTATTTCTAAATTGTATTCCTATATGGGCTCTAGATTCATCTTTCAATATTTCTTATTTTTTAATTTCGAATTTTCATTTTCTGTAAATTGTATTTTTATATAGACTCTTGGTTCTTCTTCCAATATTATTTTTTTAATTTCAAATTTTAGTTATTTGTAAATTGTATTTCTATATGGACTCTAAACTCTACTTTTAATTTTATTATTTTTATTTCGAATTTTAGTTAATTCTAAATTCCTATAGGGACTCTAGTCTCTTCTTCTAATATTCTTTATTTTTTAATTCCGAATTTATATTATATCTTAATGAATTTCTATATGGACTCTATACTATTCTTCTAATATTATTTATTTTTCTAGTTCTGAATTTTAGTTATTTTTTTATTTTTCTAATTCTGAATTTTAGTTATTTCTAAATTATGACTCTATAATCTTCTTTCAATATTTTTTTAATTCCGAATTTCCATAAGCTCTAAATTATATCCCGGCATATACTCTAGTCTCCTCTTCCAATATTCCTTATTTTTTATTTCTGAATTTTAACTATTTCTAAATTGTATTTCTATATGGACTCTGCTTTTCTTTTTCTCCGATTAATGTGAGAATTTCTAGGCTTTGAGAGCGAACGTGGAGGCTTATTTTTCTATTTCTTTAATAAGTTAATAGATTTTCGTCCGATTACACTGCTAGTCAACGGTTTAAACAACGTTTTTTTTTGGCAAAACCGGAACAACCGCTCTATTCGGAGAACTGTGTAGACAACTGTGCTTCCAGGAAGAAACGGAGCTTCAGATTGGGAATTCCAACATGGGCTTTTCTTGGGAGAAATTCCATAGTAGTACCACTTTTCTCTACTACTTTTCAGAGAGAATTCTCTCTTGTTCTAGAATGCAACATTCGTTTAGAATCTTCCTACGACTTAAGAGCAACCACAATGTAACAAAAAATCAGGTAACAAGCATTTATTTTAAGCCTACTATCCAGTATCCAGTAGTAAGCATTGTGGGAAGAGATAGTAGTTACTACCTGGTATTTGCGCTATTGCCGGCAACAACCAAATAAAATATGAAGATTCTGATAGGATTCAGGTAATGGAGGGTTGGGATGGATAGATTTTTTCAGGTGGACCCCACCTTGTTTACCACTACACTCATATAAGCATTGTGAGAAGAGTTGCAGCTTACTACCTCCTAGTCATGGGGCCCATCTTATTTACTAGTTAGGTAAGATACATTGTGCATGCCATTACAACCGAAAAAACAAAAGAATTTGCCTAGTTCTGATGACCCGTTGAGCTGGTCAAAAGAGAGCAGCTGTCAAACTATGCAAAGCGTCTCCAACTTTCTGACTCTCCAAATACTACGAGTGTTACTACGAGTGTGTTTACTTCCACGCTAAAATTAAAAGTTTGATTAAAATTAAAAGTTTATATGTGTAGAAAAGTTTAGATGTAATGAAAAAATTGAAATTTTGAAAAAA